AAATCATTAATAGGAGCTGCGAAAAGTCTTGAGAGAATGTTAGTGGGTTGTAGCTGAGGAGGAACACGGCAAAACCTGGCAGTCGCCTTTCGAGAAGCCTGTGAAGCGTGTCGGGGACGGCTCAGCGAGGGTGTGTCGGTGTCGGGAGACGCGACGGGAGAGAAGCGGCGGTTTTGTTTGGTCGAATTTGTCTTCATTCTCGAAAAGGAAGGTGGGTGATATGGTGAAATTGGAAATCATTTGTTTCGTCCCTTTTATAGCGTCGCGTCGCGTTGTACGCGTTTGTCGCGCTTGTTTATTATCAACAAAAATCAGCAAGACGCGTCGAGAAACGCACGTGAAGGTCTGCCACCGCGTTCTTATAAAAGGACGCGTACAATCTCACCGCCCCTATATCCATTTTGCAATAATTTCAAATGACCACCCCATACAATTTCGGCCCCATTCCCAGCCCGCAGCCGCGGACGCTTGATGTGCCTCTCACACATCCCTTCCCCTCTTCCTACCCCTCCTCGTCCGACCCACCGAGCTCGCCTAGCCCACTCAATTATGCTCACTCTTCCCCACCACCGCTCCCTACATCCTCTGTGCCACCGCCGCCGCAGACTCCAGCAGTCCTGAGTCCCGTCTTTATCGACACCATTGCACGCGAATTTTGTCTGGAACAGAAACAGACCCAAATGCTGCATACCTTTGTCGGTGTAAGTCTTCAAGCATTCTCCCCTCTTGTCGGTATTCAATAGTTCTTTAGTTCGGATCCCTTGATGCGGGCCTCTCGTTTCCCGACATGGCAACGCGGGTCGTCTTGCTCGCCGCTCAATTTGGCGACGCGGCCGAGAGACGACGCAAAGAGAAAATGGAGGAGCAGGAGAAGACGGATCATAGGGCAATGTGGCGGGATCTTCAAGTCAGACTTGAAGAAACCTTTACCTTCACGCGTCAACAGAAGGTGTGTCCTGAGTCTTTTATATCATGCATTTGCACTTACTCTCGGAAGACGCACATCCGTGGTGTCGTGCAGGATGTCATATATGAAGGGAGCCGTACAAAGTTTTTGAAACTGCATGTCGACGTGTGGGTGCGTGCATTCTCTTCTTTATGTCTGTTCGTATATGATCTGTTCTCATTGACCTTCCCAAGGATGCTGTCGAGCGACGCAAGAAAGAGTTGAGCCTCGACAATATTTTCGGTGTACCTGGGAGGGAGAAGATCCTGGGTCAGTTGATTAAGAGACAATGCTCAAGTGTCCGCAATTCATGGCGCACAGATGTATGTCGTTCGTCTTCTTGCTTGTTGCTATTCTAAAGATTCGGAAACAGTTGATTGCGAGCATCAAACCCAAGAAGTTCACTTCTCTTGCCGACTTTGTGTACAACTCTGCTAACAAGTACCGAATGGGAGGCGGAGGAGGGGAGCTGCCACAGATTTATACAATTCACGCGGTCTTACTTGTACGTGCTCAGAATCTTTGTTAAGCTTGAGCTGAAGCAGAGATTGGACAGCGACGCTTCGTGTTTGACAATCCGACCCTCATCACTGCTGCTAGCGCCGAAGAGGAAGACACTGAGGAACCCGAGGACAGCGATGTCGATTATGAGGAGGCCGAGGGACGCCGCAGCCGGAAGAAAGCAAAAACGGGTAAAATTCCCAAGAGTGCGAGTTTTTGGGGTGGCGTAGACAGGTGGTTCAAGGAGGAGGTTGATAAACGTGGTTCGACCTTGACAGGATCGAAGTGGAAGAGGTGCGCTTTCTTCTTCTCTAAATCACGTCTCTCATCCTTCGGCTCATGGCAATCTTCAGTTACGTTGACCAGCTCATGAAGGACGACCAGGCGAAATTCAAGGGGATCTTGCCTGGCTCTGTTGTTGTTGAGGAGAGAAGTCCGTTGCTGGAAGCTTGTGGCGCCGAGCAGCCGATTCAGCAGACACCGGGATTGGGGTCGGGTGTGTTTCGTTCATCGGGTCAGATGCTGGAGTCGATGATCCAGGGCAGCGGTGGCTACTCCTCAACTCGTTAACTTCGATACTTGTTCATTAACTTCAAATATTTCATTGATTTTTCGTGGTGTTTCGGTGGAGGACGAGGAGTTGGTGCTTGTTTGGCATCGCAATGAGTCATTGTTGTGAGTTTGTTTGGACGAAGTTGATATCGTTTCCTTGCCTCCCACCATGTTCCTCCCAGCCGCAGTCGTCGACCGTCTGCACCCTTCTTTCAACCCTCCCATGCGCCTCAAGACTGGAACAAAGTCAAGTCCTCTCTAAGCCACAAGCCTCAAGACTGGATTGAGATCAAGTCCTTCACGACCTATGCGCAAGACCGTGCACCTGACAAGGTCTCAAGTCCATTCAGGCTTCAACGGAGCAAACTGTCTATAGCGGCCGCGTCAACGTCAAGGTCATGAACGCTACCCCCTCGAAATCTCAAGACTGGTGCTCAATCTATGTTACAAACTGTGTTCCATATGGCTGTCTACCTCAGGATCAAGAGGCATCTCAATATCTGAAGACCGAAGGCCGCAAATGCAAGGCAGCAGTCAAATCAAGGCCGCAAATGCAAGGCAGAAGTCAAATCGAGACCTCAAATAGCGAGCCGCAAGTCACTGGTGCAAGCATGGAATATCTTGTCGTTGAGGTGGCGTTCGAGGTTGGATTAAAGATGGGCGTGGTACATGGTACGTCGTTCTCTCTCTGGTTTACACCGCTCATTCTAACCTCCAGCCATAGTTGGCAGTCAGTTTTGGGACGGGTGAAGGGGACAAATGAGTGATAGGTCCGTGTTGTGTGCCTGGTGTATGTAGATGGAATTAGATGATTTTCTATCACTTCTTTTCCTTTATTTCTGAAGCAACCGGGAGAGCACCGGAAAGTGCCCTGAGCAGCGGAAAAGGCGGGATGCGCACAAATATGCGATCAGAAAGGCGGGGAGCGGAACAGGTCGAGACCGTTGACGTAATCAGTATTTGTACTTGGCGCAAAACCGTGCGATGAACTAAATTCCGACTTTGGACGCACCCGGTGCGTTCGGTGGAAAACGAACCGGAACAGTGCCGCTCAACTTCCAACAAAAGTTCACTTTATTTTGCATCTCGTCTATCCACCTTGAAAACGACTATCGCTCAAAAATTTGGCCTTCCCGGTAGATTCAGCTACATGTTGGCGCTGTCCTCAGCTGAAGCAGTAATGCAGCGTGTTGAGAGACGACCCATCGAAATCGGATATGCACAACAGGGAAGGACTGTCGCCACGCAAAATCTTCGACGCGTTGAGAGATTGGCGAATGTGGCCGATATATTGCCTTGGTCTTGTCCACATGAGTGGGTTGCAGTTCTTGATGAATATCCATTTGTGCCTGACTTGACACAGTTCCAACCGGACCTCCTCAAGTATACCTTTTCTATCTACAAACTCTTAGGCTTCTACTGACCGTTGAACCTCAAGATCTATCTGACGCTCTCGCTGAAGAATTTGGGCTTCAACACTACGCAGTCCAATCTACTCGTCATTCCATCCACCGTTTGCGGACTGCTCATGCTTCTTTTTGCGGCATACTTCAGCGAGATCGTCAACAGCCGTGTTGCCGCTACAATCATCCTCCAATTATGGGCCCTCCCACTTCTGATTACCCTGTACACATTCAACAAGTCGACATCACAATGGGTCTACTATGCGGTCATTACACTTGTAACTGGGTTTCCTGTGAGTGCATCTTACATTCAAGTCTGCCAGACCGTCGGTGTTGATGGGCTTGACTAGTATGTGCACCCGGTGCAAGTTGCTTGGGCATCGAGAAATTCGTATTCTGTGCGGACGCGTACGATTTCCGCGAGCATGTATAATATGTCAGTCCGCTTCCTGAACGTCAATCACGTCTAACCTTTTGGTGCAGCTGTGTTCAAGCGGGTGCAATTATCTATGTCGGTGCACTTGCGTCTTCAGTTAATCCCAATGTCTAACCGTTTGACAGGCCAACATATATAGGACAGACGATAAAGTCAGTTTCTTCCCCTTTTCTCTAAATAGAAACTCAGACACGAAACAATGATTCTAGCCACTCTGTATGCGACACTCGAGTCTGTATGGGGCATAGAATCCTGACCTTCGTTGGCAGATAAGCGAGGCAACAGAACCTTAATTGGTATCTGCTCAATGAACATAACGCTCTACATCTTGACTTTCTTCTTCTATCGTGCCCTCAACAAGGCGCGAGACAGGAAGTGGAATTCGTGGTCGAAGAAGGTAAGTATGACCTGGGGTTTGTGACGTTCTCTAACCTAAATTGGTTTAGGAGCAATTGGAGTATATTGAGACGACGAAGGATGTTGGGAACCAGCGATTAGATTTCCGGTTTGCTTACTGAGGTTTAGAGTACCCCAGCGTTATTGTGTTCGTATCTCATGAGCGCTCGCTGGCAACTGTAAATAGTATGGGCTTGGTATGGGCATTCAAGTTTTGACAACGGGGTCCGTCAGGTCAACAGTCACTTGCCCCTCGCCCGCGCGCTTTCAGGTCTGAGGTGCTGATGACAGTCGTCTCGTATTGTGCTCCCAGATCGAGCGAGGATCCAAGCGTCGTGCTGGCTTTCTGAGTTCACTACAGTTGGAGTGTGGGAATTGTTTACCGGATCCAGGCTGGATCAATCATTACCAAAACAACACACAACACCGCTACGCTTCGCATCCGTATATGGTAATTTTGACCTCTGGGTCTGGGTGCAGTTACCTGCGACTCCTGCGCAACAATATACCTTCTAGTATACTTATAGCCTTGAAAAATATTGAGGGGGGAAACACATTTACGCCTCCATTCCACGTTACTTCCCGGAAACAGATTTTTCGTGCCAAACATATCTTGTGGTATTCTGTTGTCACGGTGTTTATATTCGTCTTCTGACGCTCATCTGCGCTCTGAAACGGCGCCCATGGTTGTGAGTTGCTGTGATAAGAACGGGCTGTGCCAGTGAGTTTTGCCGGTTTTCCCGCTCATTTTTGATTCGATCTCGCTGCGTTCGTGGTGTAGCGGTAACATTGGGCCTTCCCATCCTCTGGAAACGCGTTTCTCCTCTTAACCCAGGTGCAACACGTCTCTTGGTTGACCTAGCTCCGGGTTCGACTCCCGGCGGACGCATGGAACGGGAGAATGAGCTCTCTATCATTTTTTATTTCAGCTGAGTGGCAGCATCGGCCTTTTGTTGACTTTTTCCCGAACGCCGCGGCAGGGGACAAACAGCGCACAATACCGCTACGCCTCGCATCCGTATATGGTAATTTTGACCGCGGAGTCTGGCTGCACCCAACTGCGGCTCATGGGCAACAATATACCTCCTAGTATGCTTATCCCAGTTAAAATACTGAGGGGGGAAACGGCCTTGGGCATCTATTCTTTGTCAACTGCCTGGAAACCCATTTTTCGTGCCAAACATGTCTTGTGGTATTCTGCTGTGTATCTCTTCCTCTTCGGCCCTCATATACGTCGGCCTTTGTTTACGCTTTGAAACAATGCCTTCCGTCATCATAAGCTCAAGTGCTCGCTAGTATTCTCACTCAGTTTTGATTGGATCGTCTCCGTTCTGGTTCCCCTGCCTCCCTCTCCCTCCCCCCATTGTCCCCCAAACCAAACAGCCATAAAACGCGGTTCTCGTAGACGCTGTGAAACGTTCTTTGTGACAAACTCGTCTTTACAAGTGATCTCGCTCATTTTTGATTCAATCCTCCCCGTTGTTCTTCGCCTCCCTCCCCACATCAACCCCCGATGCAAACAACCGTAAAACGCGAAGGCGAGATGGCCGAGCGGTCTAAGGCGCCAGACTAAGGATCCGCTTCATTTGAAGCACAACTTGCAGACTTCGTCGTTTGTAATCTGGTCTTTCGGGGCGTGGGTTCGAATCCCACTCTCGTCACTACGCTTTTTGCCTCGTTCCCCGCGTTTGCCGACATATTCCCGGTACAGACACGTTTTTAGCATTATCGAAGAGCAGGTGCGCTCGGAGCGGCGCCCCGGCACTTACTCGATCTCAGGTCCTCACAACCTTCAAGGCTTCCTAGCTTGATTTCCCTCCTTGTCAATGCCCAATATCCCTCTTCGACTCATTAATCGCCTTGCAAAAAATCCCAAGTATCTTGGCTTTGCCAGTCGACCTTGTCTCTGAGGCCTCGTCTTCCTGCACTGCATGTAATAACTCAAATCATTTGCATTGATCCAATACAATATTATGCATTATAATGTGCAATTGCAGTCTCACTACTCGAAAATTTTCGGAAACACAGGTCCGTGCCATAAACTTGACTAATTGCCCGAGTTACAAGCCGAATTAATAACTTGGTGTGGCCAGCATAGCGCAGGATATAACCACAAACACGGGCATCGACTGGACTTTAACAGTCAACGTCCGCTTTGGGTGGAGGCTTGGAAGGTACGTGTCGCCCAGGAGATTGGCCTACAATACCTATGCCGCGTAATCCAACCAGTGCGGAAACAAAGCCCAGCACAGAGATTGCGAGACATGTCCAGCCTGCAGCACGAAAGCCAGCCATCAAAACGTCGGGAGAATCCAGGGGGAGATCGGGATGTCTGCGCTGAAATTTCTGGGATATAGCGGTGGCTACGCTTGAGCTGACAGCGAGACCCAATGAGGTCCCCAGCTGCTCGGATCTGCACGTCAGACACAAAGGATATTCGGAAAAGTTTTACAAGACATACGCGACTGGCAACATTGAACAACCCTCCTGCACATTTGGATAAGTCATGATGGAGTTCAGGTTGTGGTCGACATACCGGCGAGTGACTGGCTATCCTCGTCAAAAACTGATACGAGGTGCAGATTCCCGACCGGGTAGACGACATCAGCACCAACTGAGGACGCAAGAATTATTTCGTGGAATGTTCGAGTTCGGGAAATGACGAACCAATGAATAGCATCACGAGGAATGCCGTACTCCAGTAAGAGCCGTGGATGTCCATTAGAGCGAATATTAGGGGAGCAACCTGCGATGAACTGTTGGAAGATGTATGGGGGCAATTCAAACGAGGCGTACGATGCTTCCCAGAGCTCCTACGATTATCAACTGTTGTCCCGGGATGCGATTCATAACATATCCAGTAACGATGTTGACTATGACACCCGCTGCAGTCATCGGGACGAATCGAACTTTACAATTGATGAGCATCCTGACATTGGAAAAAACCAACGGTCAAGATCTTACGAGCGGTTTGCAAAGGATTCAACAAGATTACTTGCTGGTAGCTGCGGATACGGTCAGAACAATGACATCTCAGTAGATCCGGGTCGCACTATAGAGTCATCAAGTAAGCGAGCGTGTTGAAGCCTGTGTTGAACCATTTTGTGAATGACTTTCTTGGATGAAGACGGGAATTCAGCTCACTCCACCAAGCAAAGAACTGTATGGCCATAATACTCGTCATTCTGGCAGCCGGTTGCTTCCACATGCTTATTGGAAGCAAAACGGACTGACCCCGGATTTCTCGGCGCCGTTCATAAAGTACGAAGACGATCAGGATGGCGATCGATCCCGCGAATAAGCTAGGAATCTGAGGTGTTGCCCATCCTCTTCGCGCGGTGGTGGAAGCACTGTGTCCATGTCAAATCGGGTCGTACATGGACCGCATATTGCATGTACTCACGCTAGGCTATAAGTGAGGAGGCCGATACCTATACAACTGAGAAGTGCTCCGCCCCAGTCGATACCTTTGTTATACTGCGGAGCGGATGGCACTTTGCTCAGACAGAAGAACCCGAGCAATACAAACAAGAGTCCGAGGCCCGATTGGATGTAGAAAACGGCCCTCCAAGTGGCCTTACTTTCTGCCAGAATTCCACCTGAATCCGGGGGAATCAATTTCTGTTGAGATGCTCGTACTCAGATTACCTACCGAAAATCAGTCCCAGGATGAACCCGAGAGGTTGACCCGCTCCCAAGACGCCATATGCTTTATTACGCTTCCCACCTGAACTAACAATGAGTGCTTATACATGAAATTTTCGTTTTGACTGACCCGGAGGGAAGAAGGCGGCAAATAGTCCGAGACCGCTTGGCGTGTTTGCAGCGGCGCCGAGGCCCATCGCAGCTACGAACGCGATGAACACCTCAGATCGTGGAGCGAAAGCGGTCGCCAAACTCCTGCAGGTCCAGTTACGCAAGCGGTTAACATCGAGTATATAAAATCCTAACCAGACGGAGAACCAGATGGAGCCGACTAAAAACATGAAACGGCCGCCGATGATATCACTGAGTCGTCCAAAGAAAAGCAAGAAACATCCATAAGAAAGACTGTAGTGGTGTTTGAATTCTTGTCAACAATCCGGGTGGAATGACTTGCGCGTAAACATTGAGGGGCCACTGCAAATCGGATTGCTTGAAATGTAAATCTCTTCCAATGGTCGGAAGAGCGACTGTCAGGGCACCGGAGAGGAAGACCTTTGGGACAGACCCGCTTGAGATGACAACCGCCGGATAAACAAACGCGCATACATTGAGAGTGGTCACCCCAGAAACAGATACAATGAGAACGAGGTCCGTGAGCTCTAGAGTCTCGGGCGACGAAGACATCGTGTTGATGAGGGCATGTAAAGGCGAGCCTTCCCCTTCTTAATGCTCTGGCTTCTCCCGAAGAAAATTATAGTGCCCGTCGTAAGACGAATTAGAGAGCCGAATACTAGAATTACAGCTGTGAGGCGGGAAGTCTATTGTAGTCGTTGAATAGGGATTTCATAGGTTTCCCCGAAGGCGATATTCATTTCAAGGAATCACAGGAATTGCGACGTAGTGTAGTCCGCGGCGGCCATAGTAGATTCAGTCGCATCGAGCGGCGATTGAGGTGGATTGTTAGACTTGTAACTGAGGGGCATATTGGGAGTATTCGACAAGGTATTCGAGGTCGAAGTGCAGCAGCTTGAGGCGTGGGAAAGAATTATGTTCGTTTGATTTGACCAACCTCACCAATGGACCATTCAATGTTCATGGTCATCGGCCCCAAGGCATACGTGTAACCAGTCTAGCTGTGGGCTCGTGGATCTCTCAACATATTTTTCGGTAAACCTGCCGTTCGCCACTAAAAATTGTCATCCCAGTTGTCTTGTTTCTGTCTGCAACTTTGTCCAGCCATTTGTTCAAGCTTTCAAGGGTTGAACCGACAAGATCGAAAAGAGATTTTAGTCTCTTGCCGTAAGTTTTTTGCCTCGATGTATAGTCTGCGGGGAGCGCAAGACGCCACAATCTATGCATTTTACTGTAAGATCAAGACGAAACCATGTCTTCTTGCGCGGTGGTAGGTTGTCTGTAGGTATACCGAACTCTCTAATTAGCTCACTGCTGCAACGGTCAACCAGGAATGGTCCCAATGAAGACTTCATCGAATTGGGCCCAGGTGTATTTACCCATTGCCGTGCTCTGTCCGGAGTAACCGAATATTCTGAACTCTTGCCCGCGCGCAAACGTGGCTGTAGAGCCGCAAATTCGCTTCCCAACACAATTTTCGCTTCAATTTCAATGAGGTATTCATTGGCGATGGTGAGAACCCGTGTGGAATCACTCCGATCCCGCTCCGCGCCCTTTAAAATCGCGCGTACTGGGATTTTCAAATCGCAATACTCATCTCATGAACATGACCCCTGCACCCAAAGCTGTGGTTGTTGGCGCCGGTCCTGTTGGCTGTCTCTCTGCAATTGCGCTCGCAAAGCTGGGCTGGGACGTGGTCGTCTACGAACGACGCCCGGGTACCTTGCCCCTGCTGTTTGTATTCCGGGCCATAACTTACTTTTGGTTTTAGATATACGCGCAGATTCACTGCAGGCCTCGTCTTGCGAGATTCCAGCAAGGATTCCTCGGCCGCGCTCCATAAATCTCACTCTTTCCGCTCGAGGTATCGCTGCCGTGCAATCTATTGACAGTACCCTTGTCGAGCGCCTTCTGTATAACGCTGTTCCACTCCAAGGAAGGTTTGTTGCTTGATCCTTGATCGAGGCGTACTCTCATTGCCTCCTCAGGATGGTGCACCATCTCAAAGGCAACCCCACTCCCCAACAGTATGACCGTCAAGGACATGTATGTGTTGCCGGTTATCTCTATCTTCGCCGTTTCATGCGAATCAGTGCCTATACTCAATCGAAC